GAGAAAGCCGCACGGCTCCCACCTGCCTGCTTCTCCGCTGCCCACTCTTGCCCTGTCTCGGACTCCGAGTGCATCTCACCTTCTCCTGGGTTGTTCTCAGTGTCTTCACACGTGTGATTCTGTGGGTCTTTTTCTCTCTCTGCCTCTGTTTCTACCTCTCTATTTCTCTCCACCTCTCTCAATCCCTAGTGTTGAATAAAACAATTCTTAACTGATCAAAAAAGAGCTAAATAATAGACATTTATGTATGTTTGATTTATTGAATAGGATTTGGGGTTTTCTGCCTCATACAAAAGCAGGCAGGAATGTTTTCTGTTCATCTGGAAAATGAATATACAGTGTTTTTTTTTTTCATAAACGTGACCCTTGATTGATTCCTACCATGGCTCCTCCCCAAAGCCCAGAAACTGGAGAGCAGCAACAGAATGAATCCCAGCCTAGAGTTCCTAGCCTGGAGCAAGAGGGGACCCGCGGTTGGTGCCCAGTATGAGTGTGAGGGTGAGCAGCACGATGGCAGGAACATGCACAGCAGGGGGGTGCAAGCTGGGTAAGTAGATGGAGAAACCCCAGTTAACCACCGCCCCCCACATGGCACCAGGCCCTCCCTGAGGGAATCACGCCCCAAGGCTGAGCTCACCTGGTGTTGGAGCCCCCAGAGCTCTGCTCCTGCAGCTCCCTCTGTCTGTCTGATTGGCCACCCCGGGCTCTGTTCACCTGGTCATCAACTGCCCTCCGCTGAGGTCCTCCCTGACCCATGAAATCTGCTAGAAAAGACTCCTCCTTCATGCTCCACTGTGATGGGAGATGGCGTCTCAGTCATCCTGGTTCCCTACTCCAGGCACAATGCCTGGCACGTAATAGGTATTCAATCAGCATGCTTGGAAAAAGGAAGAGGGATCCCATACAAAAGTACAGAGTCTCCCATGTTAGCAGAAGGATATCAAAATGGGCACATTGAGGTGCCCATCTATCTGCTCTCCTGCCGGAAGCCCCTGTATGCCCTGCACACCCACCTCCCACCCATTCTCCAAGGTTCCCCTCCACGAAGCCTCTGATTCCCCACCCCCCGTGGGAAGAGTCCTGTCCTCTATCTGAGCTCCCAGCTCCCTGGTCTATTGTTACCTTGTTGGGACCCTCTTATGGCAGTTTCCACACCCCTGTTAGGCACACACCAGACTGTCACCCCATAACCCACACAGTAAGCCAGTCCCCAGAGGGTGGATCCTCCACAATGACCAGATTAAATGAGTCAGACAAGGCATCTCTGCCATCGCTTGGGAGGAGAAAATCCAGAACAGACAGTCCTGTGGGTCGATGGGAAAGGGTGGAGGTCAGGACCCAGCCTCCCAGCGTGGCCAGGCGGTGCTGGTCACTCACTCCCAGCACCAGGGCATCAAAACGTTACACTACCTTGTTGGCCAGTGGGTCTCTTGGTCCATCTTCGCTTTTCCCACACTTAGCTCTGACTGCTTGCAATTAGTATCAGAGAGGCAAGTATCTAAAAGAGTCAAGCTGAGTTATGGAGAACCCCAGACAAACTGCAGGGCACAGCTCACCTCATGGAGAGTGGCTCAGATGGCAAAGGTTGGTTCCTTCGCCTACTCAGCTGGGCCTTACCAAGGAAATAAGATCAAGAAAGTGGTGTTCGTCTTTAGCATTTATTTATAATTGGAAAAACTGTTTGTTTGTTTGTTTGTTTTTTCTGAGCAAGCACAGACCACAAGCACGTCACAATCAATTGGCTATACATGAATATTTTTGTCATTTTCTTACTAACAGCAGGAATGAAATAGCACCAAGAGAGGTGTGCGCTACACATACAAAGACAATCTGTGGTATGCAACAAACCCAGGCCACAAAATCGCAAGTAGACACTTCCTGTCTGCCTTGGGAGAGGCAAAGGCATCATGGGAGCACCAGCGGATAACGAAAAGCTTTAAGGACCCAACGCACAGCTTCAAGGATTATTTTTGCAGGCGAGGGAAGCAGACAGTGGGAAAGCTTCAGTCCTCGCTCTTTTGTCAGGGGAGTTCAGGGAACCACAGGGAATGGTACAAAAATGGGCAGAACAGGCATTCGAAGCTTGGTCACCTTCAGAAAGGCAAAACCAAAACATTGCTTGTGAAGCTGATGTCAGTCAGTGTCAATCAGCCTGTTTGGACACAGACCGAGACTGGCTGAGTTTTATTTGTAAACAGTAGAAATCAAAGGAGGTTTCCTGCCAGTGAAGTGACACATTCAAGAGTCAAAGTGAACTACCAACAGGGTTTCATCAGCTGGAGGTGCTAAAAAGATGGGGGAAACTAAAGGGTTGAAGAATCCTACAGGTCATCTAGAGCCTCAGGCAGGGCAGGGAAGAAATTCAGTGCCTGGGGCTATAAAGCAGGTGGGAAACTACCATTTGGTCAGCACAAACTTTGAGTCCTATGTATCCTGGTTGTGCTGCTGTGGAGACAGATTTAGGCACACTACCCACCGTGGCTGGCCCTGTGTAGGGCACACAGGCATTCAATAAGTGAATGCGGAATGAATGGTCCCCCATGCATTGTAAAGCTTGATTTTACTTGATCTACAAAAAATAGATGACTATTCTACGGAGAAATCCAAATTGTGGCTAACATCAACATGTCTGACTAATGTCAGCTCTCAAGAGAACGAACACACACTGGCAAATTCTCTGGACAAAGTTAAGATCATATTGACAGGGCTGTCTGGCTATTGTTAAGATTAGCTAGCAAATACCCGGAATCAGCACTGAGATCTACTCTAGCCACTTCTGGCTCGGCATCAAAATCTGGGATTCATAAACTGCGACTAACATTTTCGACCTTCCTCAGTCCTTCTCCTTCCACACAGCTCCTTCTCTGAGACAGAAAGGAGGAGGGCAGCAGGCCTGCTAGTCCTGTTCTCTTAGGAAACAGGGCCCAAATAGCACAGGCTCAACTCATTTACAAGAGATTTCTCAATCAGCCCAAAGGTGACAAACAAAATGGTGGAAATGGAGGTCTTGCTGCCTGAAAGGTCAGAGTAGGAGAGAGCTTGTGGAGGCTCTACCGGCATCAACTGGAAGGACTTAGAAAGGGTCTTGAGGACTTCACTCTTCACCACTTTCATCACAAAAGAAAAGTACCCCAGAGCAAAGGCTGGCGTCACACAACAGCCCAGAAATTTCAGAATGCTGGTGACACTGAGCACTCTGAAGACATGAGAAATAAAGGGTACTGAACAACGTACACGTCACAGAGTTTGCAAATGCAATTTTTCTGGTAGGTATTTGGGGTCTTGCCACAACTCATTGACTAATGCCTACAACACAACTCTAGCACAGCTAAGGTGGCACTGCCATCACTGGCAGGCAGTGCTGACCCACAGACATGAGACACACATACAAGGAGAGCTACTTCTATTCATGAATGAGGTCAAAGATGTTTGCTAATCATGTCGCAGGGAACTCTCCTCATCTTAGGTTAAGTCACAGAAATGTCCCCTAACCTGAAGCTCAGCATCTCCTGTCCTCTTCCAGGAGCAGAGCAAGAACGGTCCAGGCAGGGACAATAAACATCGCCACACCTGCCACTAACTACATCTGTTTCCTGCTGTGTGTTTCTCAGAAGCCACATTCTAAATACACATTCTTACACCTTAAACTTTCTTCCTCAGTCATTTGTAACCAGCTGCTTTGCCAAATTGGCAGCACTGGCTAGGCTGAGGAAACAATCTCATTTTTGTCATCTTCTTACCATGTCTGGAATGTACCTAAGACACCTAACTTTTTTGCCCTGGCCTAGTTTTGGTCATCAGTGGCATCTCTCTTACTTGGTAGACAACTTAAAGCCCACTGGTAGGAAACTAAATGCAATCACGCGTTTCTAACGGAAGATTCTATGGAAAAACTACTTCAGCTTAACAGACACAACTCATTTTATTAGCATTAAGGCCAAAATTTCTTAAAAAATATTTCCACAAATTGTCAATTTCCAAAGCCCTGGTTGGGCTTCTATAGCATACAGGATAACTCTGTGAAGTTTGGCAATGAACATTTTTACCTATAGTTCAAAACTGATCACTGGCACAGACCCTGGGGAGGAAGTGGAGGAGGACGCTCCACGCTCACATCGAAGCATGGCCAGGACTTCCTCCATAGCCCTCCTGCCTCCTGCCTTCCCCACCAGGCACACCCTCCCCTGCTGGAGGCACCACCCACCGCTGGCTTCCTGCTGGTCAGGGACCAGCGGCAGGACCTGGTCTAGATCTGGACAGGAGGCAGGCCACTCGTCTTTGAAACAGGATCCCTCTGTTCAAAGAAACCAAACCAAAGAGCTCCTGGAACACTCGGGCTCCAGGCAGATGGGAAGCCTCTCATCAATTTTGTGGCCTTTTT